TCTGTGTCCCTGTGATGGACTGCAGACCTGTCCAGGGTGTCCCCCGCCTCTCGTACAGTGACTGTTGGATATGGACACCAGCAGTACAGGAAGAAGCGAGTAAAGATAATGGATCTAAAGATTGTCTTAGGCCCCCTGAATGGTGTTGGGTGACCCATTCTACAGTCTTGACCCGAACTTTGGGAACCTTTGTAATGACCCTTTAAATCCAGCAGGAGACCTGGAGGAGGACGGAGAACAAGTTTCATTAAATCTGACTTTATGATAAAAGTACTGAAATCAGAATACATAATTTACACAAGCCACAAATGTGGAGAAAAAAAATTAAACCACGTTCTAGAAAACAGCTGATTTTTAACTTAATAATAAGGTATATATGTGATCAAAAGTTATATATATATTTTTTTTTATTTCAAAAGTTCAATCTCAGTTTTTGAACTCAATGTTTAATTATTATTTTTGTTGGTAAAAACAATTTAGTTCTCATTCCACCTCGATCTGGTTGCATGGAGCAAAACTAAAGTATCTACAGTTGTTTAACTCCGGTACTTTATAGTACTGTGTGGCGTTAATCACTTGTCATACAAGGTAAACCTGAACGTTCATAAAACATTTTAAAATACTTTAAAAGCTAAAACATGGCACTGACGAGACTGCTTGGATCCAAACGAGACATCTAATGAGGCCCAGTGTCTTTGAGTCATCCAGCCTTCTTCTCAGTAGTAGTCCTTGTGTCTCTTGGCGGTGTAATAAATAATGAGGCCCAGGGTGAGCAGCACCCCTGAACCCACCAGCGACAAAAAGCCCACGACGGGCCTCTTGTCCAGAACACGGCAGCCCAGGCAGGGCTGGAACGAAGCAGGACACTGCTGCGGAGCCGCTCCTTGGATGGGGAAGCCGTTATGTTGGATGATGTTGCGATAGTTGGACAGCGAGGCCTTGACGATGACCTCTTCGTGAACTTGGCCGTACAAGCCGAACCCTGGGTCCCTTTGATCGTTCAGGGCGTAGGCGAAGTAACCTTTGAGGTTCACGCCGTCCAAAGTGTGCGCTGCGGATTGAAGAGGGAAAACAAAGTGTAACGTTAAATAGGTGAAGCGTCGTTTGGGGGATGTTGCCGTCTACTGGTGTGGGTCACTTTTATCTTTACAAGGAGCTGTAATGAGACGAGCAGCTATGACTCAACAATTCAGAGCAGAGGTGATATTTTTACAAGTATTTGTGTTTTGCAAATATGTTTGAGCTGAGTCAGTTGACTATAGGGGTCATTGACCTAAATACTGTCTAAATATTAAACTCCACAGAGGCCATGGGGGAAAAGGTTCAGATTTAAAGGGACGATCTTTGGTTAGAAAACAGCAGCTACAACATTTCTCACCTTTAAGCGCCTCGTTTATGTAGTTGTACAGGTAGTAAACTCGCAGGCTGTCTTTGAAGCGGGCCGGGTCTTCCTGGACCCCGTTGGCCATCACGTAGATCGGTACGTCGACGTAGTGCTCCTTCACCTTTGGCAGCAACGGCAAAGTCATGTTCTGTCGAGGTTTATTACAACGAGACAAAGCTTTATGTGAACACGGCTTCAGTTTTACCCAGTTGAGGGCTTTCCTCAGACCCCAGGGCACGACGGGCCTCGGGGACATGATCCACGTGGTGTCGATCATGTGCTGGACCTCGAGCATTGCTGTGTAGGTGTACCTGCAGACACGGGACATGTTGCTTCTGTCCAAACTGTTTATAAAGAGAGTGTGGCTTGTTTAACATTGAAAAACGAGTCAAATAAAATGCTTTTCTCTTACGAGTCCTCCTTGGCGTGAGTCACCAGCTTGGAGCTGAAGTGGCTCATCGCAAAAAAGTCGTACGTTCCTTTAACCAGCCGTCGGTCTTCCTCGTTGAAAACAGGCAATCTGTGGGAATATTAAAATGATGCTACTTTTAAAAAGCAGTCGACAAAAAATTGGATATATAAGATGTACAAATTAGTTTTTTTTTTTTTTGTTCCAATAATGTGCACTCAAAAAAATGAAATTTAGGTGTCGTGTTAAAAACTGTTTAATAGATTACATAATTTTATAAGAAAATAAGCAGGTTTTGTTGCATTTAAGCAATTATTATACTTAATTAAGTAGTATATATAATACTTATTATTATAAGTAATTATAGTATGAGATATTAAAGTGACTACTGTTGTTTTAATGTCTTGTAATCACTTATTGTTCTTTTGAGTGAACAAAGTTTGCCCCGTTGTGTTTTATGTACTTGCACAGGCTTATCTTCAAAAGCCTTCGGCTACTATTTGACCAAACTTTGAGCTATTTTGCTCCTGGTGCCTTTGGGAAGACTCAAATCTCTTGAATCTACTAAACATCAACTATTTGGTGAAGACAAAGTTTCAAATAATTATTACATTTCACATTTAAACAACCAGATTTTGCTGAACCAGAAAGTTATGTTTATCTAAATATACAACCTCAAAAGGTTGTTAATTAGATAAAACTGTGAAACTGAGTTTGGTGGACTTTTTGATCAAAATAAACACGCAAAGGCTTTTTTAATAAAGCACTTTAAGTGAGTTTTAGTTGGTTATGATCCATGATAAAATGGGTGAGAGCAGAAATGTTAAATTTAGGCAAGCTGCACAAAAATCACAACCATCCCAAACCTTTCTAAAACAAGAGAAATCGCATTTCCTGCAAAAAAATGTGGTGTGCTTATTGCACAACAACTTACTGAAAAACAGCTGAAATTAGCTAAAACAACATGCTGAAATGGAAGAACAAGCTTAAATTAGCTGAAGAAAGCAGAAAGAAAGCATATTTGCTTAATTAGGTTTAAATAAGCAGAAATGAGTGCAAAAATTAGGAAATTAGCTTAAAAAAAACGGGCAGAAATTAGCAAAAAAATAAAAAATAGCTGAAAAGTAAATGAAAAGGCTTAAACAACCGGAAGGAAGTGGAGAAAGCACATTTTTGCTGAATGAGGCTGAAAAAAGTTGAACTTATTGCAAAAAAAGTTGGAATTAGTTGAAAAAGCTCAAATTTGCATAAAAGAGCAAAATTTTAGCTGGAATAAATTAAACTAGCTGAAAAAAGCTGAAAGGAGCAAAACAAGCTGAAATTAGCAGAAATAATTTATTTAGGCTAAAAGTGGCCGAAAGTAGCGCAAAAAAAAAAACAACGAATTGATCTGAAAGCAGCTGAAAATAGCTAGAAAATGCTAAAAGTGTAGATGAAAAGGTAGAACAACCTTAAATTATCAGAAAAAAACAGAAAGAACATGTTTGCCCAATTAGGCTGAAAGAAGCAGAAATGAGCACAAAAAAGCAGAAATTGTCTGAAAAACACTGAAATGAGAAAAAAAATAGCTGAAAAGTAGCTTAAAAAACACAAAGAAGCTTAAATTACAAGAATAAAGTGGAGAGAGCACATATTTGCTGTTTTAGGCTGAAAAAAGTACAAATGTGGAAGTAAAAGTCATAGCACCCTTCTCCTCTATGAGCTGAACGTTTTGATTTACGAGTTGTTGAAATAGCACAAAAATTGTGGAACAAGTAAGATGCCAAAAAGCGCATGGAAGAAAAATGGATCACAACAGTGTGAACGCTTCATAAACATTCACAGAATAAATCTCTGGTGATACAATCAGCTCTCATGTTAGACCTAGCTCTCCTAAATACATTCAAGTTTGTAAAATAAGCAAGTATGTATAAAGTCTGGTGATCTGATTTCTATATTTGTGCACAGCTTGCCCTGAAGCTTATAAGACGTATGAAAATTGATTTTCTTTACTCAAGCGAGTTGAGCTGACGCAGCCAGCTCCTCATCCCTGCAGGATAGTCGCCGCTGCCAAAGATGGGCTCTGCAAACCAGCCAACGGAGAAATCTAAAACCCTCTTGGCTGGCTCCACGTCTTCGCGGCTGAAGGAAAACGCCGGCTCCACCCAGTCCATGTGCAGAGCCAGAGACACCTGAGACAACACCTTTAAAGTTATTTTACTTTGGCAAAGACATCAAGTAAAGTCAGGTGGACCTTTGCTTGGGTTGTTTTTCACGTTAATTTTCCTTCTATCACAGTCATATGGAGTCCATCAAAATAAATGTATTATTTATTTATTTACATACTTAAAAAAAAAAAAAAAGCATCCCAATATTAATGTCTTACTGACCTTTCCTCCCTGCGAACGTCTGAACTCTCGATCGTAGACGTGCCAGGCCAGAGCGTGCGCTTGTAGCATCTGATGGCCCTCCTGGTAGCTCACCATCTCATCGTTGGGTTCATTCAAGGTGATCCACATCTTCACACTGGCCCCCAGCTCTCTGTAACAAAGCCTGGCGTAGTCTGCAAAAGCCTCCGGAGTCTTCCTGGGAGAAAAAAAAAAAGATCAAATGTGGCCAAAGGTGCATAATTACACTCGTCAGTAAATTGTTAACCAAATTCTAAAACATAAATTCCATCGCACAACGATCCTGAATACATGTATTTAATATTTACATGATTGTGGCGGGTGAAAGGTTCATTTCACTGACAGTGATGTTATCCATGATGTAAGTCAACAAACCTTTCAATTAAAGAACGTAAAACTGCAGCAATGAGTTGCAATGTGAAGCTCATACCAGCACAAACCCTTTAACGATCCGAGTAGTGGACCTCACATGTACCACTAAAGATTTCTTGAACTGAACTTCTTTTCAGTGGCTGAAGTCATTTCACTTACCGCCTGGGAGGCTTTAGAATACTAAAATAAAAACAAATGTCTGGAGTGTGTGACAAACCCAACTGAGCGGTGTAGTGTCTGCAGTTCAGTGCGGTGAAGAATGTTCAGGTCTCTGTACTGGAGGAACTAAGCTGGCTCTCCTGCACCTCAAGGAGAACCAGAATGTTCATATTTAAGATGGAGAAGACAGATAGTTTGGGGTGGGAGTCATTAATGTCGAAGAAGAAAAAGACCAATTTAAACAGAGAAGGAAGTCTCAGATTTTAATTGTCAAAAATCTACAATGCAGCATGAAGCCTGCCGTATAAAAACACATGGGATTAACTCATGCAAATTCAAAGAAGCTTCTCAAACAAACAAATCCTGCTTTTTTCCCCCTTAAGTCTTGGGCCCTGTACACACGTAGCCGGATATCAGGAAAACCGAATAGTTTATCATGCGGTGTGGCCTTTCATCCACACGTGAACTCCGGTTGATGTAACTATAAACGAATAATAACAAAAACTCCGACCAAAGTGGAGATTTGAGAAATCTCCTCTTTCGGGTTTGCGTGTGGACTTTCGGAACCGGAGATATGCGCATTATGTCTGCGACAGATGGTGCAGCGCGGCGCTGACGTCACATGTGCGACAATTGTTTTTGTTTGCCCATTCATTCGGAGGGAAAATGACTGCGTTTAGGGAAGTACTAATTGTAACGCTGGTTCAGGCAATTTTTGCTTGCTTGTTTTTACAAGCACAACTGCTCCAACAGATGGAATTACAAAGGAGAAAAAGCGTTTGGCGTTCAGCTCTTTTACAGCAACTATCCCTACCGATACGGAGGCACAATACCGCCATTCAGCGTCGCCGTCGCCGGTTTTGGATCAGACCTGGACGCACTGCTGGCTGGTGGGAAAACTTTGAGAAGGAAATTGTTCTCCCACAGGAATGGCGTGAGAACTTCAGAATGTCACGGTCGTCATTACTGTCGCTCTCGGAGTTACTCCTTCCTTACATTCAAGGGAAGAGTACTGTAATGCGATCTCCAGTCTGTGTGGTCAAAAAAGTTGCATGCACGCTATATTATTTGGCTGACGAGGGAAGACTGCGTAAAACGGCCAATGCATTTGGCTTATCAAGACAAGTAGTCTCAAACATAATTAGAGAGGTGTGTAAGGCTATAACTGTGTACTTGGGACCATCTTACATAAAAATGCCAACAACAGAGACTGCTGTGCGTGCACTTGTTGAGGGATTTGAGCAGGCTTATGGTCTCCCTCAGTGCCTTGGAGCTGTGGATGGGACTCATGTGGAGATAAAGCAGCCATCAGCTAATTCTACAGAGTACCTAAATAGGAAGGGGAGGTTTTCTCTTAACATACAAGCCACCTGTGATTACAAGTACAGCTTTATTGATGTAGTTGTGAAATGGCCAGGGAGTGTGCATGATGCCAGAGTTTTTGCTAACTCCACAATAAACACAAATCTGAAAAACATGAAGATTCCCCCCTGTCCAAGACAAATTGTGGAGAACGAAGACGCTATACCCATTTACATACTGGGTGACCCTGCATACCCACTTCTACCTTACCTGATGAAAGAATATGCTAACGGAGGAAGCAATGTTCAGGAGCAGTACTTTGGACTTTCGTTGTGCCGAGCTAGAATGGTGATTGAATGTGCATTTGGAAGACTAAAAGCCCGATTTGGAGCCCTGAGGAGAGCCATGGACATCAATATGAACGATCTTCCATTTGTTATATATGCATGTTTTGTGTTGCACAATTTTTGTGAGGCATCAAAAGACACTGTGGATGAAAACAGAATAACTGAAGCTATTCAACATGACAGGAACAATCAACCGGACACACAGCCAGTGGTCAGAGGAGACAGCTTGGCAGCAGAAGGAAAGCGGGTCAGGAGAGTCCTCACTCAGTGTCTGGATCCATAAACACAAAAACCTGTGAACTATTTAGCAGACTGCGTTGTTTTTTCATAAAAAAACGTTATAGTTAGCACCATGTATGTTAGAGAATTTTTAAATTGTTTTGTGCAATGTTATTGCATTTCATTCTATTAATGCATGAAAAGCTACCACCCAGGATTTAGATACATTATATAATAGTTTGTAGCTCATTAGACAGACTTTTAAGTTAAATGATTTTACTTTTCTCTCTTAAAATTGGACCTGTAGTGTATTAAATAGTGCTGCCAATACTTTCTGATGAACATGACTGTATTTGTAACTGATAAATGTCATATTCACAAAAATTCACATAAAGAAACTTGCTTTTAAAATGTTTGTCAATTTATTCAAACGAACACACTTAACATGTTCTTATTTTGTGTTTCATTTATGAACAGATCAGATTATAACAGATCTACAACAGATAAAGCTTTTTAAACATGGGAGAAAAGCAGCACAGTTACTGTACACTTTTAAATCAGTGATGCCCAAGTCCATAACTTGGGAGCTACCACAGGTACATTTCAGCTGCATTTTCTTCAACAAACCAGTATGAAATAGCTGATTTCAATCATCAGTATGTATTTGATAGTGGTGTTTTGGAGAAATAAATACATCTAAGTAGCAGTAGCTCCCAAGGACTGGACTAGATCACCACTCTTATAAAGATTCACGTAACAAAAATGTAAATAGTTAAAGTATTGTGCAATTGCTACATTTTAAGCTTTTCACAGTATGTATAAAAAGATAGCAAACAGAAAAAAAAAACACTGTCAGAGTAAATAACACTGTGATTAACAACCTGACATGTGTGCAACCTTGTGCAAAAGTGGAACTTGTATATACTTAACTGTACCAGACTTGTTTCGATGTATAAAACAGTACTCTACTGGTCACTAAAAAGGGCCTGACTGAATGAAAATTGGTCAGTGGCTTCAGCAGGTGTGTGGAACACAGCTTCAGTGTTCATAGTGTTTCCTGGTCTTGTGTTTTGACGTGTTCTGTCAGAAGTGGAGTTGTTTGGGTATGGGTAATTTGCTGAGTTTTGGTGGACAGAATGGTGGGCCATTGTGTGCGAATACATCGGACCTCTTGGCCTATGAAAGAAAAATATTTAGGGGTTTGCACAGTCTAGCATGCAATTACAGCTCATTTGAATAAGTACAAGAAATTCTAGCCAATCTTTGTGATCATAGGAGTAAACAGTGAGCATCCTGAGTCAGTGGATGACTTAATGCAGATTGGTCAGTAAAATGATAAATGCTATATCTCAAATATAACAACTTAATTTATTAACTCTTTTAAAAATAAAAGCACTGCGTTCTGCTGACTAAAGGCGCACTGTTCATCGCTGCATGCTTCCATCAGATCAGTCTGTCTGAGCTGTAAAATGCAATAAACCGTGTTTGATGGAGATGAATGTTAGCGGATCGTCCTGGTAACACGTAGAAGCTGTTTCCCACCTGTTCAGCCACTTGTTGGCAGCGTCCAGTGGGACCGGCAGGCCGCTGCGTTGCCGCGTGTGGTGCCACAGGGTGACCACGGGGGTGACGTTGGCCAGCAGCAGCTGACGGGTGAAGCAGCGGTAGTACCTCAGCAGGGTGGTGTTTGGGTGAGCCACATTACCCGTGGGCACCAGAGCTGACCAGTTGAGGGAAAAGTGGAAGTGGTTCACCCCCACCTGCCTGATTTCATCGACCTGAAACAAAAGAGGACAAGCAGGTGGGTGCTACAAACACACATCTAAAACAACAACTGTCAGTGTGGAGCTAAAGTCAAAGTTTAGCTTATTTTGAGAAAATTCTGGGGTTCAAACTTTTACAGCTTGCATGCAGGCACATATTTATCAAACACTTACATGTTTCACTGACATAAAGTTTGGAATTACAGTGACTTTGAATAAAAAGTGAAAAAGTTTTCTTACCAGCATCTCAAATGACATAATGAAACAGTAAAATTAACATAAATATCATAAAATTCAAAACAATCTGATGCTCTGCAAAGATTTCCCCCGTTTCGTTGAGCATTTGAACGTTGCCGGAGTTACATTAAATGAGTTAGAGTCTGAAGAGGTTTTGCTGTACCCTCACTTTATGGAGATGTAAATGAGCAACAAACCGTCTCCTGTTTTGGAAGCGTAACGCCGGACAGCTGATAAATGTTTGGCAGACTCACCTGCTGTCGGACGGTGGCGTAATCGGCGCAGTGAGTGGCTCGGCGCAAAGGTGGATCGCTGAAGCCTTCCAGCTTAATCAGCTCTCCGTTGTTGGAGATGTTCCAGAGGTACACACTAGAGTCCGCAAACTGGGTGGGAGCCGTCTCCACCTGGGGAACAACACACTGGAGCTGGGATGAACCAGTAGGACAAATGGATCACAGCATGTGGTCGTGCACAGTGGAACAGACTTAATGTGGGAGTTTTATTAAGAGTCCAACCAGTTTCTCAACCAGAGCGATTTATTTAAAGAAACTTCACATTAAGGTGTTTACTTAGCTGTCCTGCACTTTTCTTAATAGCATCAACATAAAATACGATGTCCAAAAACTGCATGTAGAATTGTGACTAAACAGTAAACATTTTTGAAAACTTTTACACTTCACTAAACATTAAGTTTACGGTGAATCTTTGAGCCCGAAGTAAAACGGTGAAGTTAATATTTTCTGCCCGTTTGGTTTCAGAGGAAGCGTTCTTGCTGTGTTTCATTCTTTGTCTGACCTCTGACTGTTGGTACGATGTTCATCCACAACTGCACACACAACCTCAGCATGCAGACACACACACACAGGTTTGTTTTGCTATCTTTATGGGGCCTTTGCATTGACTTCCATTCATTTTTCATTCATTTCTATAGCCTAACCATGACCTTTATCCATAACCTAACCATTACCAGTACATACCTAACCCTAAACCTAACACATCCTCAATTCACACCTTAGTCCTAAACCTAGCCCCTAACCCACCAACGGGACTTCTTCTTATGGGGCCCGGGCTTTGGGCCTCATAAGGAGCAATTGGTCCTCACAATGCAGTATAAGTTGGAAAAATGGGCCTCACAAAGTAGCATAAACAAGGACACACACACACACACACCTGTATTGAGTTGGCGGAAACCCCCCATGCAAAACCACATGGGAAGACTCCTTGTGCTGGTCTGTTCTCCGGAAGTTCAGGAAAACCGTTTTTGTGGATGACATTTCTGCAGAAATCGCCACAAAAAAAGAGGTTGGTGAAAATTCAGGAAATTAATAATAAAAACGACATTATTAAGTGATAAAGGTACCTCAGGAGGACAGCAACACATGACGAGCTACCCTGGCATATTTATTTTACAAAACTGAGCTGAAGTATAGAAACAGTCAGTTCACCTACAGTATACAGCTTTGGGAAGGAACTACAAAGGTAAATAGATGAACTGTACTTATACAGCTCCTTTCTATCTTATCAAGATACTCAAAGTACTTTACTCTACAATCTGTGTCCTCATTTACCCATTCATACAGCACTCCACTAGATCTCTACAAAGCTAATTGAACAAATCATTCTAAAGAGAGTAATCAGTGCTTTTATCACATTCATACACTGATGGGACACACATCGGAGTGTAGTATGTCATATAGGGATATATTCATACTTTTTCACGAGTTCCTCATCTTTCTGACTGTGTAAATGTCGTGCATTGAATTTAACAGAAATGTAACGAGAGACGTTATTATCTTTGACCCATCAAAATGAATGCGGTCATTTATTTTCAGAATCAAAGTTTAACATCAAACATTTACATTAATTTGGCAAAATATGAAAATAATAACAGACAAGTTTCACAGATAATGGACATCAATCACACGGCGGTGATCGAGGACTTTGCTTCAGATATTCCTAAAATATCTGTACTGATTTTAAGAGAAAGGAGAGTTTAAGATGGAAATGGAGATTTATCTTACAGAGAGATTTGTGAGGGAATTAATCTGTTTGACCAGAAACGTGCACGCTCCTTCAGATCTCAGCTTGCGACGGTACGCTTGGTCGAAGTGGACTGTTACCTGGTTGATGATAGGTCAGCGTCGGTATAGGATCCTCCTTTGACTCTTTCAGCGTCTCCGTTGAGAGCAGCTGAAATCCTTCGAGAGTCGTGCGAGGTTATTCAAACAGAAGTTATAATCCCAAAACGTCTCTGGATCATCCTGAACGCGTTTGCATCCAAGAACTCTGAACTCCTTTCATCTCCTTAGCACTCTCTATCAGACTTCCAACATCAGACTCTGTGCACTCTTGCAAGAACCGGGAAGTTGCCACATTTTAAATGAGTTGACTTCCGGGTCAATTTAGAGCTTTCTGATTCGTGGATGGACCAGAATAGAGGTGTGTTTTGTGACGTAAGATGTTATCAAAAGTCAAGGGCAGAGAATGAGATTGCTTAACAGACAGAAAAGATTATTGGAGAAACACCAGACTTCGTGGAGTCAAACTCCTATTATCTTCTGAAAAAGTTTAAACATGACATTTCTTCTCAGTGAACATTTTAGTTGACCGAGACTCGACCTTTAACATACTTACAAACTTGCTCATTGCAGACAGAAAAATCAAGAA